AAGGTAAACAGCAATCCAAGATAAGACAGTTTTAAGGAAAAATGTGTTAAAAAGTTTAATTGGCTGGTGATAGCACAGGTTACTAAGCAACCTATTTAAAACAAATTCAGGGACCAACTCTCTGCCAGATTATTGGGAGTGGCCATTCAGAGGTATAAAGAATAGCTTCCTTGTTTTGTACACATTTCATTGGTAGATCTTGATTTTCTTCTATTATCTGAAAAGACTGTGATACAATGTATAGTTAGATTGTTTTCTAAAATGTCCACAGATATCTGGGTAGTTCAGGTGTTTCAGAGTCAGAAGTAGTGCAGGGGTTATTGGTTGCTTGCCAACTTGGTACAATCACCTAATAGTTGTGTTAGTTTAGTTTAAGAAGGCAACCAGTGTGCACTAAGACATGGAACAAAATACAAATGTTAAACTCGGTAACATGTAAAATCTCAGGATTGGCCATCTTGTTGGCCATTAGTCTAGCAATGCATTTTATTTCTTTTTAAATTTTTATTGTTTTTCTCATACAATATATCCCAACCACAGCTTCCCCTTCATCCATTCCTCCCAGCACTGTTCCCCCGCCCCAACCCCCGGTCAGCTCTTCTCCAAGGCTGAGCAAGGCAACCCAGTATGAGGGCTGAGCAAGGCAACCCAGTATGAGGAAAAGGGATCCCAAGAGAAGCTTTTCAGTTTCATGAGGTCCCATTTATTAATTGTTGATCTTAGTGCCTGTGCTATTGGTGTTCTATTTAGTAAGTTGTCCCCTATGCCAATGCATTCAAGGCTATTCCCCGCTTTCTCTTCTGCTATATTCAGTGTCTGGTTTTATGTTAAGATTTTTGATACACCTGAATTTTATGCATGGTGATAGATATGGATCTATTTGCATTCTTCTATATACAAATAGATGTGGAAGACCAGTTAGACAAGCATCATTTGTTGAAGGTGCTTTCTTTTTTCCAATATGTAAATCTAGCTTCTTTATAAAAAATCACATGTCCATAGATTTGTGGATTTATGTATGGGTCTTCAGCTCAATTCCATTGATCAATGGCTTTGATTTGATGCCAATACCATGTGCATTTTATCACTATAGATCTGTAGTAGAGCTTGAAGTCAGGGATGGCGATACCTTTGAATGCTCGAATATTATTCAGGATTGTTTTAACTATGCTAGGTTTTTTTGTAAAGTTGAATATTATCTTTTCAAAGTCTGTATATAATTGTGTTGGAATTTTGATGGGGATTGCATTGAATCTTTATGTTGCTTTTTGTATAATAGATGCTTTTACTACTGATCCATGAACATGGGAGATCTTTTCATCTTCTGATATCTTCTTCAATTTCTTTCTCCAAATCATTGACTGTTTTGTCATACAAGTCTTTCACTCAGCAATGCATTTTTTACACAAATTTTCCAAGGAATATCTCACTTGAGCCTTGGCTAGCTATGCCTCTTCTTTCTTGGCACTGATAGTCAGTACTTTCTTCTTTTCATGGCACTGATAGTCAGTACTTTCTTCTGATAATTCTAACTTTTCTAACATATATTGTTTCACAATAGGAAAATAAGTTTCAGTTTCTCGTAGATATGGCAAAAATGTCCCAGAAGCTATGTTTCCTTTTTCTAAATATCAATAGCCATCTTTTGTTGCAGCATCTGTGAGTCAGTGTTCAAAGGTCTCCTCAGCCATGTTGAGACTGTGCAGCACAGGGGTAGCTGGAAAACAACCAGATAAAGGACCTGAAGATTAGGTGGGACATGGAGGTAATTTGCCCCCTGTGGTGGTTATAAAGAAAATAGCCCCTATGGGAATGACACTGTTAGGATGTGTGGCCTTGTTGGAGTGGTCATGGCCCTGTTAAAGGAAGTAGGTCACTGTGGCGGTGGGCTTTGAGGTTTCCTTTGTTCAAGCTAAGTTCACTTTCTGTTGTCTGTGAATCAAGATGTAGAATCCTCAGTTCCTTCTCCAGAACCATGTCAGCTTATAGACCACCATGCTTCCTGCCATGATGATAATAACCTAACCTCTGAACTGTAAGCTATCCCTAATTAAATATTTTCCTTTAAAAGAGTTGCTGTGGTCATGCTGTCTCTTGACAGCGATGTAACTCTAACTAAGACACCACTGACTTCCTTTATTCAGGAGACATTTGTGGGAATAAACTTTTAGAAAGAAGAGGTAAAGGACTAAGGGGTAAAGGTGGAGTTCACGTTTTGTAGAAGGTGTTTTAGATCTAAGTCAAAGATGAGGAAGGATGGATTCCAGAATAGAAGCCACACCTATGAAGTACAGGAGAGTCAAGCTGGAATAAGCATGTTAGATCAGGCTGCTCTTGTGGGAGTCATTGTTCAGTGAGGTACTTTTAATTACTACTAGACTGTGCAACATGAGAAGGGAGTGTGGAGCAATGGGAGTTTAGTGGGCTTCAGGGAAGCTTGAGTGGCAGGAGGTGGAAGATGAACCTGGACCCAGGCAGAAAGTAGTCAGAGGAAAGGTGTGGTGTGACTCTGGCACTTCTAGAGGAGGATAACTACTGGACATGCTTCTGGAGATTTCTGGACACAAGATAGAAAGCATTTACAGATGACATCCCAGGGGCCCCTTGATGGCTAGGTATGTATTATCTTAGGGGCAGAGAATGTGAACAGGACCCTCCCTAAGAAGTTCTCAGCATGATTTCCCATTTCAAAAGTAAAAGAAAGGCATGGGGTTCAAAAGAGTAAAAGGAAATGTTAGAAGAGCTTGGGATTCTTTCAGGGACAAATTGAATTTTGGTAATTCAGATTTGAATGCAAAGTTGTTTCCCTGACATTGCAACTTGATAAACATATTCCAAGAGGTGCTCCATTTCTGCTGTTTCTTTCTACTGTTGATGCTTTCTGGCTTTAAGGCTGGGGTGACCGCTGAGCTCCTTAGTAGGTTACATTTGTTATCAAGATGGTAATCAGTGACTTCTCTAGGGCTCTGCTTGGGTAGGAATAAGAATTAGGCAAACAGAGGAGGCTTTGGAGGACCTCTGGGGGAGCGCTCTGTGGTGAGATATTGTTTATGATTTATTAAAGCTTGCCTAAGGATTCAGAAAGCAAAGTCAGCTACAGGCCACAGAAGCCAGGCACACACCTTTAATCTGAGCAGCCTGAAGCTAAGAGGTTGTGATACCCACCTTTAATCCTACAACTCAGGATTAAGAGATAGACCAGTCTCTGTGAGAACTAGGCTATCCAGATCTACACAAGAGTGAATCAGTCTAGAAGAGAATTATAGCTCATACCTTTATTCTCAACATTGGGGAAGTATATAAGACAGAAGTAAGTTCTCAGGGAGGCATTCATTCTCCATTCACGCTAGGGAAAGGTTACAGTCTGAGGCTTGGTGAGAGTTCGTGGAGATAGGATCAACCCATTCAGCCTGAGGTAGAGGTAAGAAGCTCGTGGCCAGCTGCTTTGCTTTTCTGATATTCAGCTTGAAGCATAAACCCAAGTATCAGTCTCTGTTTCTTTTATTTTTTCGTGTTACAGCTCTCTCCTAGAGGAGGATTAGCTTACAGAGTACTGCAAGTTAATGTATGGCTCATGGGGTGATAACAGCATTTATCTCACAGCTTCATCTGGTGTATTTCAGAAATATGCCCATGACAGCAGCAAGTAAAGATTGTTAGTTCACTGAAGATCTCTGGATATAAAGTAACTTAAGTTGACTCATTAGGAAAGGCTTACAATAGAAAAGTAAGAATAAACATTTGACCTTAAGTAATATTTGGCATGCTTCAAAGTGAATCAGTTTGGTACTATAAATCTATATTCATAAATATTTCCTCATTGTATGGCTAACTCCTTTCCTGTGCATCACCTAGAAATGATGCAAAATATGAACAAAATTTAACACACAAAACATTTGTCGTGTTTATTTATGATGACTGTTAGAAACATGACACCATCGAGCACGTGGCTCAACAACTCTGGAGGCAACTACTCTGCGAAATGCTATACCATCATTTAAAAGTGAAGATACTTCATGGCTCAGCACCTTTGATACATTGCTGTTGAAAATCATGGGATTAAAACTGAAGTACAATAGGTCATAACTGACATAGGTGCACAAAAGATACTAAAAAAATACTCTGAAACGTTTTAAGACTACTGCTAGATGGGTTTTCCCTCATTTTCTTTTAGTTGCTTTTCTTACCGTAAGATAAGAAGACAAACATTTTGAAAAGAAAAGGAAATGAGGTCCTGTCAGTGAAGTAAAACTAACGTCGAGCAGACAAGCAGGTGGATAGTAACACACATTTTGTGGTGGTGGAGAGTGAAAGTCTACTATGATGCTGTAGGGGAAACAGGCTTAGAGGGAGGCCCATGCAGGGAGTGAATGGAATGGAAGCAGCCTTCTTCACTGGTTTATGGTTCTTGCTTTATGATGTCTTGGTGCTTCAAGTCACTAGCATTGCTGACCGCACCAGCTCGTCTCACCCTTGAGGATATACTTTGTGGCCCCACTACACAGCTGAGTCTGCAGGTGGTGCCAGCTGCTCTGGCTTCACAGACTTTCCTTCTAAGCCTGGCACTTACTACCCTCTGGGGCTATAACTTCTGCATTTTGTATACGAGAGCAAAACTAGCTTTGCTTTTTCCGTATTCTTTCTTATTATTGATTTTTCTCAGCAATCTTCTATGATAGCTTTCCTATCTTTAGGTCAATAATTGTCATATTTTTAATCAAAGGGAACACATTACATCTTCTCCTTGGCTTACTGTGATTGTCATTTAGTGGTGTGTGACTGTTATTAAGTAAAAACAAAGGCCATGAGAACAAAACCAGCAAGACACTGCAATGGTACATGTGATTGCTATCAACTTCTTAGGGAGTAAAGGGAGAGTAGTGTCATGTCACTGACACACTGAATAAAGGGATGAATCATGTTCTAGGAGGGAAGAAGAAGATGAAAAGAGGTTGTATCACACGGAATGGCAGGCAATTAAAATTATGATTTTTTCAATGTTTCATTTATCATCTTTGGACTTTAATGAACTATAGATTGAAACCTTGGAAATGAAATTTGGAGAAGGGAGGGTGACTGGTTCAAGTTCTGGAGGCTTGGACTCACTTCCCTTAACTGTTTACATAAGCATGCCTGTCTGGCATCCGTGTCTCTGTGGGGTCAGAGACTCCGCAGTAGAAGGCTAGGCAGCCACACACACTCCAGGATTTTCGGCACAGCACTTCACAGGCTTATTTTTTTTAGAGGAAATCACAATCCCTGGATGGGAGATTTCTCTGAAGCAAAAGGACTGGGGAGCATGTGTGAGGATCAGAATTCACAAGGTATCACTGCAATGACCTTGAATCTCTGTGCAGAACTCTCCCAGGGCTTTTATTCCTTCTTGTGGAGGAGCCAGACAAGTGTCACTATTGCCCTGTATAAGCACAAAGCCTCTGGCTTTCAAACTCGTGGAGCTTTTCCTACTTCCACTTCTCTTCTAAGTAACCAGAAGATGTCTTCTATCTGAAATGGAAAATTTTAAATTAATTCACTGTTTGATAATTTCATACACGTATGCAATATATTGTGGTTACATTTATCTCCCTATCATCCTCTATACCTCTACTCCATCCATACCTTCCAGCCTCCACCAAATCTCCATTTCCTTTTCTCATCTTCCTATTGTTGTTTGTTTCTTTGCACTGGAATCTTTTGTTGCTGTTGTTATGAAGGCTTCAGTTCTCATTTCACTGGAAGATGTTCAAGAGGAGATTTCTTTCTAAAGTCATTGATTTTGAAGAGACAGGTGATTATTTTCAGGATGTAGAGGAAATGACCACCAAGGAGTGAAAATATAAAAACAGTGTCTGGGAAAGTGACATTTTATATATGCTACTCTCATATGTGATTTCCCCAAATGGATTTTTCTAACTTGATCTGTTGTTGCTGTGGTTCACCTGCTCTTGGTATTTTTTAGTTAGCTTTTTTTGTAGTCTAAGGCTCCTTAATGTGCTATCTGTCATTTCAGAATTTTCTTTGGTACATTTTGAATAGATTTTTGCTGATTTTCCAAGAGACACTGAAGTGATAGGTCTCATCTTTTCTAACAAATATTGGAATCTGGATGTGAATCTTGGGCTAGTCAAAGGTGGAGGACTAGCCCCTTCTCAGAAGCCCTTTCTGTGCCTTTTATCTTGGCTCCATAGAGGCTGAGTGGGCTTAAGGCAGGCCACTGCCACCACCATGGCGATTTTGCCTCTGGAAAAGAACAGAGATCTGAAGGATTAGTCCATGAGTGGCCTGCTTTCTTCTCAAGGTCCTAGTGTGGGTCTCAGCGCCTTCTGCAGTTTAATCAATTCTTCCAACACCAGACTCTCCAGTTTCACAAAACACTGTGGTTCTGTGTCTTTGTATTCTTGTCTGTAGTACATGTGTTCCTTATGCCCCACAGATGTGCTAGGGTAAGGCTGAGTGGAGAAAGGCAAGGGAGAAGAGAAGGTGTACTGAGAAGTGCTACACAGAAAACAACTGGGTAGTGCTGACTCCCTGGAGTTGAAAGGTCAAGGGCTCTCTGATACTGACATCACAGCCTGTGAGCACTTCAGTGATGGAATCTTGTGAGTCATCACGTCCCTGGTCTGTGTCACACCAGAAGGCAGTCAAGCTCTACTGCATCTCTGCTTGAGTCTGCTTTGGGAATTTGGTGCAGAGGTGTGGCCCAGACCTTTTTGTGTTAAGCATGTCTCAGGTTAGGCACAGTCTCCCTTGAAGTTTTTAACTTCCTCTTTCACACAGTATATCCCAAAACGCAGCTTCCCCTCCCTCCTCTCCTCTCAGTTCCCCCTTCCTCCAGATCTACTCCTCACTTCCCTTCAGAAAGCAGCAGGCCTCCCAAGGATATCAACAGAACATGGCATAACAGGTTATAGCATGAATAGGCATAAACCCTTCTTTCTTCTTTCAGGGTTGTGTGAAGCAATCCAGTAAGAGGAAAAGGGTCCCAAGAGTAGGCAACACAGTCAGTGACACCCCCATTTCCACTGTTAGATGTCGCACAAGAAGCTAACAACCGTAACATATTCAGAGAACCTAGTCAGACTCATGCAGGCTCTGTGATTGCTGCTTCTTCAGTCTTTAGGAGCCCCTATGAACCCTGCTTAGTTGATTGTTGATTATGTGGGCTGTGTTCTCATGGTGTCCTGGACACCTCCTCTCTCTTTGTAAGTGATTCATCCAGTATACAATTTACTCTTTTAATGTTCAGGTTTTTTTCTTTCTATATTGCCATGTTTTAGAGATAATTTCTCTTTAAAAATAAAAGAACCCAGAACTACAGATCACTCACACTAACTAGGATATTATACTTGTTAACTTTTTGGTTGTGTTTTGATTGGTAAAGTTTCATGATGTAGCCAGGCTGATACCAGACACCTATTGGTTTAGTTTCTCAAGTGCTGGGATTTTGAACATATCATCATACTTAGCTATGTTTGTTGACTTCTATATTATTTTTTTTTGGTTTTTTCGAGACAAGTTTTCTCTGTGGCTTTGGAGGCTGTCCTGGAACTCTCTCTGTAGACCAGGCTGGCCTCGAACTCACAGAGATCCGCCTGCCTCTGCCTCCCGAGTGCTGGGATTAAAGGCATGCGCCACCAACGCCCGGCTGATTTCTATAATTATTTTATGATGTTTCCTTGCTGGCTTTCTGTTTGCTTTTGATCGTTCTGCCTTGATTGATTATTTTTCCTTCTCATGGTTTGTAAGCAACATACATAGCATCTTTTATTGATTATATGCTTTTATGCTTCACTAGAATTTATAGGATGTCCAGTTTCCACTCATGAAACAGTTATTTATCAAGAAGATAATAGTCACAAAGCCCCAGTCCAAATTCTAAAGGTTAAGATGGGAACAAAGCATATCGTAAGGAGCAACAGGAAAAATCGGCAAACAAGCAAAGTACCAACCTCCACACAAACAGAAGGCACTAGGATGAACATGCAAATAAGAACACAAAGCCCTAACACATGCTACAGAGACTAATAATGAGAAGGAGACTGAGTGTAGACGGCTTCACCATTTGAAACAGGATAGTAGGAAAGAAATATCTGAGTAAGGACCTGATCATGAAAGAAGCAAGCAAGCTCAGCAGCTACCTGGAGAACAACACTCCCAAAGAAAGGTCTTTATGTATGAGAGCCTGAGGCAGGGGCTTGTCAGAAGTCATGTTCAGTTGGCATATATTATTGGGGGAGGAAAGTGTAGGCATAATTAAAGGCATAGCTAGTCTGAAGAACTGCCCCAGGCCTATGTAGAACACTTATAAGTTTTGGGAGTAAGTAAGGGTAGAGGCTGCTGGAGAACTGCAGAAGTGATCTGATTTTCCCTTTGCAGATTAGCCTGGTTGCTGAGCTGAGGCAGACTATAAGAGAGACAGTGGAGATGGAATAACTCATGAGTTTGTTGGGAAGATCCAGGTGAAAGATGATGTGGCTTTGGGTTGTCAGTCTTACCAGTGTAAGTGGTGAGAAATGTGCCTATCCCAGACTGTTTTTGCCTAATTAAAAAATCATTTACTATGCACATTTTTCTTTACTGGCCATTTATAAACTCCAATATTTGCTTTGCCCAGATTCTTCTGTCTCATTTTACTACATAAATTTTTCACATTTAAAAAATATATTCATGCTGTAACTTTTGGATTAATATGAAAATGAATTGGAGGGGTTATGTTTTTTATTGTTGGCATATAAATTATTATCATAATTGCAAAAAAGATGGGATTTTATTGTGACATTTTCTTAAATTTATATTATGTTCTTACTAATATACCCCACTTTACTCTCTCATTCCCTCCTGCTTCCTGGTGGTCCTATCCTTTGCCCTAGAATCACTCATTCATTCTTATGTTAGTGCATATGTGTGTACATGTGTGTATGTATGGTGTTTATATGCATGCATGGACAGGTGTGTACTCATGTGTGTGTTTAAAGTTAGATTTTGCAAAGGAAAGAAAGCATTTTTATTTCAAGTCTGATTCACTTTGATTAGCCTGAAAATCACTCATTCCATTAATTTTCTTGCAAATGACATGAATTCATTCTTCTTTGTAGATGAAGAAAACATTCTGTAGAATACTTACCACATTTTCTTTATCCTTTCATTGAATGTTCCTATATCTTGACTATCATGAATACTGCAGTAACCTTGGTTATACATTCATCTGTGTAGTTTGCTGACTTCTGCTGTGCATTCAGGAGTGATGAGGCTGAATATATGGCTGTTGAATTTTGGGGTTTTTTTGAGGATTCTCAATACATAGTGCACTGATTGGCATTCTCACTGGGAAGATGTAATTGTTCTCTCTCTCTCTCTCTCTCTCTCTCTCTCTCTCTCTCTCTCTCACACACACACACACACAAACACACACCCACCCTGCACAGTCAGCATAACAATGCATGTATGTATAGTCCTCCCTTGACTTACAGTGAGTCTATTTCCAATTACTTTAATCAAAGCCTGGCAGTTATCACTGAATTCTTATCTGTGCTCCTTACAGTCTATACTGTCCCCTGTCCTAACTAATAATTGACACAAGAGCCATACACTCCAGAGGATATAGTAGTTGTAGTTGACAAAATATTAACAGAACCTGAAGATTAAGTAATACCATGTGCCAATGTTTTTCCTAACATTGGTCCTTATACGTGGCTAACAAAAGAATAATTTCCTTTTAGGAATTGTATGCTGAACACCACAGAGATAAGTAATTAAACCTGTAAAAACAATCCAGCTAATTAATAGGCCAATGAATGGAACAGACAGTTCTCAAAATAAGAAGTAAAATAGTCAATAAATATATTTTAAAGTCTTGCATCTTTAGCCAACAGGGAAATGAAAATTAAAAGAACTTTGGACTATAGGCAGTTAAGGAATGCTGAGGGAGGAAAATGATCTTCCCCTGGGAAGAGTCCCCTAGTAGTCATCCAGTGCCAGGTGGCCAACCCTGAGATCCTGTATACATAGAGTAAAATAAATAAATATTTCAGAAATTATTTTTTCTGTACAGGGTTTATGTCTACATGTGTGCCTGTGCACCACTTTAGTGACTAGTGTCTGCAGAAGCCAGAAGAGGGCATGAGGTACTTTGGAACTGGAGTTGCTATGTGTGCGGAGAAATGAACATAGGACCTCTGGAAGAGAATCCAGGCTGCTAACCACTGAGCCGTCTCTCTGGTCCGCTGGAATCCTTTTTCACATCTCTTTCTTCTCTTTCCCAGGACTGTTAAAGTTACCTTTTCCCTGTCAGAAAACTAAGTAGCAGCTTAGTTCTTTTGCCTTAGGAATTTGTTGACTTTCTAATATAGCATTTATTGTTTTAAAGTGTTCAAGAATTGGATCTTGTTTTTCATGTTTATATTTGGCACAACATCGTCATTCTCTGCAATTAAATTACTCAGAGCACACACCTTTCTCTTCAACTCACTTTCAACTTTTGCTTAGCATTGGGACAAATTCTCCAAGGTGATGCTGACATCTCCAAACCTTACATTATTTAAGCTCAACCAGCAGAGTATTTATTTAGTGATATAACCTTCTCTGCCTGGCTTTTGTCTAATTTTCACTCTGTTACAAAAATATAACTTTAAAGGTGGAAACATGGAAATGTCTTTTTTTTCTAAAATTCTCTGTATCTCTCATAATTTCAGACTAAAACAGGAAATACACGACCGCACACTGAGCAGCATTTGGTAAGACTGCTTAGCAGACACCTGTGCTCTCTTCGTGTTTCCGATGTCCCAGGCATATCAGGTGACTGATAATCCCCCACAGGTGCATCCAAGCCTGTGCTCAGAGGCACATCTTTACCTGGAGGGCATTATTTCCACCTCTGCACCACCAGAACTTCAAAGTATCCTTCAAAATCCAGCAACAATTACAGATCTGTGTTAAGCATTTTCATTACTTTTAATATATATGTGTGTATATTTATATTTTAATCACATAATTTCATCCTTTCCTTTTTATCTCAATGCTCTCCCTTATACCCCATGTTCTTCTTTGATTCATGCCCTCAACTAATTGTTATTGAATGTATATATGTATATTCATATATATATTCCTAAATATAACCTGCTCAGTGAATATACCTCTTCCATTTCCATCTTTTCTCAGTTGCCTATTGTTCTTTGTGTAAGAAACAAACCACACATTAGACAGAAGGAGACTTAGCTTTTGTTTTCTCATTGCCTTACACAGAATCATCAAAGCCTGGTGGGAAGCATGAGGATATAACAAGCAATGGATAAAGAAACAGGGTACATCAATATAAAGCTGTGGAGGAAATACATACAGTAATATTGTATGAGGCATAATATACTGAGAGAGCCAGGCTCTAGCAGAACAGCAGCCATGGCACAAAGGCCTCCACAGGATTCAACCCCACCTTGTCAGTGAGACATCACTGCTCTTGACCTTAGCCCTAGTTATAGGAAAAACCATAAACACCTCCCCACATAGGGAGAGGCGGATCAGAAAGGGATCAAACAACTCCACATGTCCTGCTGAGACTAAAATGTTGCAACTTCCCTAGACTCCCTCAGTTTGCATCCAATCAGGTCCCTTGGTGGTCTTTTGGAGGTCCAGACTTTGGACACAACAATATGCATAGAATCTGATTCTTTCACATATGAGATGATTGCAGCCAGAGCCAGTGCTGAGGCCAAACTGACATGAGAGCCTCTCTGCCCAGAGAACTACAAGGAAACCCTGTTCTAGCAGTAGTTTTTAGAAGAATGGACAATTCTCAGCCCAGGTTTGCATAACTCAGACACTTATGGTGCTGGAAGCTCAACAGTCACCCAGTTTCAGTCTGAATCAGTGGCTTCTTGTCTCACACCAACAAAGCTGACAAAATTCAGGCTCCTGTGGGAACAAGCAGAGGGGAAGTGGGCTTTATTAGGGAAGTTGAGGAGAGCTGAGAAAGGAAGGAAAATGAAGAAACACTCCTGAGGTGGGAGAGGTTCCCAAGAGAGGAAGAGCTGTTGAGCTTGTTTGTCTCTGGGTCTTTAGAGGCTTTCTGGTAGAAAATGGACAAAAGCAGACCCACTTTCTGCTGAGACTGTTTTGTGTTCTGGGCTGTTACGGACTGAGCCAGAGAAGGGCGCACACACTCTTTCCATGTAGCCATGGCACACATGGCAGGTGATAAGGCTGTAATGATGTTTCTCATCCAACTAGAGATGAGTAATACACACCCCCTTCATCAATTTCTAAGCCTCTATTTGTTAACTGGTATCCTTGACTGTCTATGAGTTGTTGCCCACTAGTCCTAAACCTTTTGGCTGTTTTTTCTGGCTGTAAACTATCCTATGCTGTGTTTGTCACATTTCTGTGATCAACCTGTAGCTTCACCATGGGAAGGACTTCTATCACAGCTACAAAGATAGAGCTAGAGTTGTCTTGGTTACCTAATATTTTCCAACTTGTCTGTAGAGTAGTTTGGGAATCTCTTTTCTTAAAATAGATGGAGGCTTTTTA